CTGACGGTCGAGTGGGGCGGGCTGGAGCAATGAGGCCGCAGGTCCCGGTGGCCGGTGGTGATGGAGTCACTTAGAAGATGAGAGGTTGGTGGTTTTGGGGGGAGGGGTAGCGGGTAGGGAGGAGGAAAGGTGTGGGGTAGGGGGATTAGGCGGTCCCCCCCCAATTATCTCTGGGAGACAAGAGTGTCCTGGACTGGCTGAGAAGGGGTTAAATACCAGCAACCCCCGTCCCCGTAGCCCCCCCCAAAGACGTTCCCCATCTCCCTCCCTGCCACCCAGCAATCCCCAACGCGACTGGCAGAGGGCACTGAGACGGACCTTACACACACCAGCAGCGGCGCCACGGAGACAAGCCCCTCCACCACGGCGTCCAGACAGCTGACTGCAGTGGCGAGGGATCGGATAGCAGGGCTGGGTATCGCGACTCCACGAGAGCCGTAAACTTGTGTCCCCGGCCCTCAGGGCCCCAACTTGGGCATCGCGATCCCGTTCTCCCCGTCGTGACATCCGGTTCAGGCTTTCGCGACAGCCGGCCTCGGAGTTCAAAGTCGGCGGGGGCAGGTGCGTGGCACACAGCGCGAAGGCCTGCCTGGCTGTCGCGAGAGGTGTGCACCCAATCAGCAGCCTGGACGCCCAAATTGCCATCCTCGTCGCCACTCTTAGTGAATACTTTTCCCACCGCTCAGCGCCATCACGACCTCAAATCCTGGTCTTGCAACAGCAATAATCCATGCAGGGGGATCCCCTCACTTTCCAAACAGTAGGCCACCAATCAGAAACAAAATAAGGAGGGCGTGCGATGGAGGAATAGGCAAGAGAAACAGAAAGGGGGGATATTGAGGGACTTGGGAGTTAAGAAGGGGGAGAAGAAATACCACTCAGAGAAAAGTGGTACCATATTCTTCCAAGTGTAGGTCCCCAACCGTCTATAAGCCGACTCTTACCAAACTCCACTTGGGGTACCCATAATAATTCCCACCTACAAGTCCAGGGCAGGCGTTAGGGCAGATAAAAATGGCACGATCTTCACCTTCTGATCCCCTAATAATTATTGCAGTGAAGCCTCCTTGCCCATGGAGAGATGGTTGGGACAGGGCAGAAGAAGGTGGCTGGGGCAGGTTGGCTCAGAGCCCCCTGAGACGGGGGATGAAGGAGGTGAATTTGGCACATTGAACCCCTTCTTCTCATAAGTGCTTTGAGGTCCTTCTCTGGAATCCAGCTGGCACCAATCCCTGGGGCCAGCAGAAGAGGGGCTGAGCTTGTCTCTCCCCCCCCACCGCAATTTCTACAGATTTGCCCGAAGGAGGCAAGTGGGGTTCTCCCCGGCTGGTGGAATTTGGGGAATCCAAAAGGTTAGGGATTAGCTGAAGGGGAGTTTTTTTCTGTCTTTTTTTTTTTTTCTTACAAAGATTCTAAGAAAAACTCAGGGTGGGAGGGGTGAGGAAGGGGGACCCAATTTAGCTAAGTGTCCACAGACTTTTTCAATGCCTCTTAGGGGCCTCCTCAGAGAGATGGTCCCATTTCCTCCCCTCTATCTGAGGTTCCCTCCCCCCCAGAGCGGCTCAGTTCCAAGGAAGTTTGGCACTTTTTTTTTTTTAATCAATGGGAAGGTGGGGGAGGAAAGAGTTAAGAGGAGTAAGGAGAGGGTAAAAGACAAAGATAGAGACAGGACAGGCAACAATGGGAGCCACAAGGAGAGAAAGTAGAAAGCCATAGGGAGCCCGAGAAAGAAGAAGAGAGAAAGAGAGGGAGGGAGACTCTGGAAGAAGATGTTGGGAGCTGGAGGGCAAATGGGAAAGAACAGGGAGACAATTCAATGCAGCAAACACTTATTAAGCACCTACTGGGTGCCAAAGAGCAGGGTGCAAGGAGGCCACTCAGAGTCTCTGAGATCTGATTGGCTAACAGGGAAGGGGGGGGAAGAGGCGGTGGGTTTTTCAATGATCCCCATCCCTGACCCCACATCTGTGTCCCCTCTGGACATACTGCAGCACGAAAGATTGAGGTCAGAATGCAGAAGAGACTTTCAAGGGATGGGGAAGATGGTAGAGTGAATTTCCTAGGGTAAAAACGGGGAAAGGTGTGTGGCTCTCCACTCACCAACCTGGTGAGTGAACTAGCTCACTGAGCTAGCAAACTACCTTTCAGATAGCCCTGGCTGGTGGGGTAGGGGGTCCCCGAGAAATGTGAATAGGGAGGGGGTAGTCACACAGATACCCCAAGGGAACACTTTTCGGGAGGCCCAGCCTCCAGAGACGTGTCTGTGTGAGAGGAGTACTGGGTCCCACTGATGGGGACCCAGATTCCCATGAAAGGGGCTATAGAAAGCATCTGACAGACCAGGGCAGCTGAGGATGCAAATGATATGCAAGTGAGTGCTTTCAAATCCCACCGCCCCACTTCCAGACCGTTTTACCTCTCCCTGGCTCCTTCCCCTCTTCATGAAGGCCTGGGGGGGGGTGCTGTAGGGGGCATATTCCAGCTAGACACTGCAATACCCACTGTGGGTGGAGATACTGTGAAATACCATAGGGTCTTCTGAGAGGCAGAGGGGAGCAGTGGCCCACAGGGCCACTTCCACCTCCAACCCCAAGAGCCCCCCCCCCCCCCCCCCCCCCCGCCACAGAAGATATGTACAAAGTTACATCAAGAATTGTTTTGGCACTCGAATCTCCATCTGGGTTCAGTCTGGAGATTAAGGGTGGGGGCAGCAGCGATGGGAGATGGGGGATGGGGAAATGGGGCCTGCCCCCCACCCTGGAGATGAAGAGGGCATGGAAAAAGTCACCCTAGTGCCCAAGCTACAGCCTCCCATCAGGCGGAAGGGCCGGGGTGGGAAATTCAGTGCAAGGTACCTTGAAGGCTATTGCTTTCTAGGGATTTTCACATTTTGATTTGGGGGTGGCTCTCTAGCAAGGGGCAGGGGTCTCCCGGGCTTTAGGGGTGGGAATTGTCTCTGGCTTTTCTTCTTTCCCTTTGTTGGGAGAGAGACGAGGAGGCCTGATTCCCCCAAAGCCATGGAGTAGAGAAGGGTCTGGAAGACCTAGGAGGGGGACAAATGGGGGAGAGGGTGGGCGTGGGGTACCCCTCCCCCAGAGATGCTGATGATGGAACCAGGGCACTGGGGGCCCTGTTTTGGGCTGGAGGAAGTGGAGGTGGTCTCCAAGGGGGAGGGGGAGATGGATGAGGGGAGAGGTGGGTCTCAGCTATCCTAAGTCCATAGGGTTGTCAGGCCCTGAAATCTCAGCCTGCCAACAAGGCCTTAGAGCTGACCACAGTCGCAGTGCTCAGGGAGCCACTCCCAAACCAACTCTCAGGGCTGCCTGGCTTGGCAGACTCCATCAGAATTTTCTAGCTCCTCAGGGCCCATGGCAAGAGCACCAAAACATTCTGATCCCTCCAATACTACCAAAGTACTCCAGCTTGCTGGAAACCACAAGCCAATCTAATCTACTAGACCACACGAAGCATTCAGGCTCAAGGGACCCTATCGTGGCTCACTGAACTCTACACTGGGTCATGATGGCCTGACAGAGCCACCACACATTTGGCTCACCAGACTCAATGGAACAAAGCCACGCAGACACAAGCATGCACACAAAAGGCGGGGGTGGGAATGGGGGTCTTTAACAGTTTTCACTAGCTCCATCTCCCACCCCTCCCTGCCAGGTTCACAGACTTGGTGTATTTGGATAGAGATGACCCTGACAATATTGGGTCTTTTTCCTTAGAGTCCTCCAGATATGCTCCAAGTCCCACCCCTTATTCTCCTCCTAGGCAGACCCCCAGGCCAAGACCCACCAAAGAGGGGTGCGGGCGGAGAAGGAGTGTCAGTGACTGGCCATGGCCCAATTCAGGAAGTGCATGCTCCATCCCAATGACGTCACAGGAAATAACCTGGAGATACCACAGGAAGTACATGCCCCCATGATGTTGCTGAAGTAACCTTCAAGGAAGGTCCACTGAGACATCATAGGAAGTACCTGTCTGTCCTATCATCACAGGAAGTGACCTCTGGGGAACTACTTCCCATGACATCAGAAGGAGTCCCAGCAGCACCCCAGAGAGTACTTGACTCAGGGACACCCCAACAGGGACCTTCATTCCCATTACTCTAGGTAAAACCACAGAAGATGCCACAGGAAGCTGTTCCAGCCTCTCACAAGAGTCTTGCCCACAGGACTGGACCAATCCTAGAGCTGGCCTCATTCCCAGCAGCACTGCACCCCCTCCCCCTATACGACCTGACAACAAAACAGTGAACAGTCCCACCTAGGAGGGGCAGCTCCAATAGGGGTAGAGTCGCTGAGAAAATCTGGGAACTCTGGGGTCCCTGCTCCAAATACCCCATTTCAGCTCAGACTCCTCGGCTACCTCTACTCCCATCCCTTCTCTCAGATCTGGAACTGAAAGCAGGAGAGGTGGGGTGTTGTTTGGGGGAGGCCCCTCATTCTAGGTGGCCCAGAGGCTCCCTCCCCTCCTCCCATATGGAAACAAAAACTCACAAAGGGGGAAAAAAATCCTTACCAAAAAAAAAAAGAAAAGAAAAGAAAAGAAAAGAAAAGAAAAAACGGAAATAAAAGGAAAAAAGAAAAGAAAAAAAGAAAAAGAAAAAAGAAAATAAAAGGAGGGAAAGAAAGAGAAAATAACGCTTTGTTTTCTATTAAAATCAACAAAATGCAATATATACAGATATCACACAGACCCGGGCCCTGGGAGCGGAGGGTCAGGCCCAGTCAAGCTTAGGGAGGAAGGAAGAAGGGTCAGTTCCGAGCTGGGGAGGGAGCTTCTGGGCCCCATCCCCAGCCATCACTCAATCCTGCCTATGACTACCAGAAGGAGGGGGGGTGCAGTCAGGCTTACCCCAGCCCCATCCCACGAGGAGCAGGACTACACTCGGAGCTGAGGTCAGGAGTTGGGAGTGGGGGGTGGGGGAGGGGAGGAGAAGGAAGAGGAAGAGAAGGGGCCGGGAGGAGGGGTGGGAGCACACACCACAGGCCTCATCCCACTTTCTGGGGGTTTGAGGCCCTCACTCCCTGCTCGTAGGTGACCCGCTGGCTGATGAGGTATTGAGCGGCTTGCGTGGCCGCAGGGCTGCCCGTGATGGTGACCCGCCGGTTCCGCGTGCCAGGCAGGAACTCCCCCTTCTTGGAGATCTGGATGCGCGCGCCTGTCAGCTCCTGGTACTCCACCAACGTCTTGCCCCCTTTGCCCAGGATGGCCCCCACCAGGTTCTCAGGCACCGCAATCTCCACCAGCTCCTTGGCACTCTCAGCTGCCAACTTCTCTGCCGTCAGGAAGCCCCCGGCGGCCCCGGCTGCAGCTGCGGCGGCCACCAGCGGGCCACCCCCGCCGCCCGCCCCGCCGCCCGCCCCGGCCCCGAGGTAGCCGTTGGCGGCTGCGGCCAGGGCGAAGGACCCCAGGGCTCCGGGGGGCGGGGGCGGAGGCGGGGCGGCCCCTCCGGCGGGCCCGGCCCCGGCCTCGCCCGCGTAGGACGCCAGGAGGTTGGCGGCGGCGGCGGCGGCGGGGTTCGCACCAGCGGCCACGGCGGCCAGGACCCCGGAGGCCGCGGCCGAGTTGAGGCCCAGGCCGAGGGAGTTGGTGTTGTAGCCGTAACTGGCCAACGTGTTAAGCGCCGTGCTGATGGCCAGCAGGTCGGTGCCTGAGAAGGCAGGCAGGGCGGCCGGGAAGGCGCCCACGCCCGCCAACCCCGCGGGGCCCAGCAGGCCGGAGGCGGCAGCGGCCGAGGCGGCGGCAGCGGCGGGCAGCACATCGGCGGGGCTGGCGTACGGTGAACCGGTGGGGTTGGAGTTGGCCACGGGGCCAGCCACGTTGGCGTAGCTGATGTTGAGGCAGCTGCTGCTCTGGGGGTCTTCCTGTACCTTCTGCACGATGGCGCTCACGGCCTTGTGCACCTGCTCCGGCTCGCCGCTGACTGTCACCACACGCTCCTGAAGGTTGATGCCCTCTGGCTTCTGGGACAGCTGCACCCAGGCACCCGACTGTTCCATCACGGCTTTCACTGTGGCGCCCCCCTTGCCGATGATCAGGCCCGCGGTGCTGTTGGGGACGATCAGCTTGGCCTGCGTGTGGGGCGAGAGGGAGGGGCTTTAGGATGGTGGATGGAGACTGAACGGTAACATTAGTCTTCAGGCGGCCCTGCTCTCCCATGTCCCCAAATCGGGCCCGCTGTGCCCTTTGATATACACCGGTATGGTCCTACTGCTTGTTCAAAATGGTGAAATACTTCCATATTGGTTGGTTAAAAAAAAAAAAAGAGAGAGAGAGAGAGAGAGCGAGCCAGTACTCCATGTCCTCTCAGTAGGCTCTCAGCCACCCTGTCCCCTGCCCCTGGGACCCCTGGGATTTCCCTTCCATCCAGCACCTTAAAGGCTTAATGGCTGACCCAGTGGGTGCCCTCCAGGATAGCGGGTGCCCCCAGCTTGCATTGGTGCTCACGCCTTCTAGATCATTAAACACTCTGACTCCCAGCCCCAGAAAAAGGAGTCATTAAGTCTCACTTTACAGAGGAGCCACTTGAGGCCTACGAGGGACTGGCCCCAAGGTTACCCAGATTGTGGAGGAGCTGTAATCCAGCCTCTTGGATTCCTGCTCCGTCGTGTTTCCCACCCTATGGCAAGGTCACGGCGCTTAACCTCTTTTTGCTATGGGCCAAATTGTTGCCCCCGCCATTCAGATGTTGAAGTCCTAACCCCCAGTACGTCAGGATATGACTGTATTTGGAGAGAGGGTCTTTAGAGAGGCAATGAAGGTTAAGTGAGGTCATTGGGGTGGGCCCTAATCCAGTAGGACTGGTGTCCTTATAAGAAGAAGAGATTAGGACACAGGGACACACAGGAAAGACGGCGGGTGACTGCGGAGGGGACGACCATCTCCAAGCCCAGGAGAGAGGCCTCGGAAGAAACCAACCCTGCCCCAGATCTCAGACTTCTAGCCTCCGGAACTGTGAGAAAATGAATTTCTGTTGCTTAAGCTACCTGGTCTGCCCTAGCAATCTAATGAAGTTGTCCTATCTGTAAAATGAAGATAAAAAAAAACCTTACATCAGAGACAATTGGGCACTTAAATACAGTCGTCCCCTTCTCCAGGGCAGAAAGGCCCATCCTTTGCCGCTGCAAATCCGATCCATCTTAGTTCTGGGGATGGGGGAGGGGGAGATTTCAAAACCATAAGTCTCCTTTCACATATCCAAGAGCACTTCTACACATAGGCTCCTGTTGCTCAGTCCTTCCCAGGCCCTCTCAGACCTGTGGGTTCCACTCCCTGAAGCCCCTGCCTCTCCTCTCCGCCCCTGAGCCAGACACCAAGGGTGTTTGGGAAATTTGTGAGAGCACTTTTAGTTGTCATGACAACTGGGGGGGGCAGATGCAGGCATGCAGTGGGGCAGGGCCTTGGATGTTGGCACCCCACAATCTGACACTCAGTTATTCACAACGTCGAACCGAGGAGAACTGTCCGGGTCCCGTATGACTTTTAAGTGACTCCCTGGACATTCATGTTGGCGAAAAGTCTGTTTATAAATCTCAGAGCCCAGACCTGAACCCGACGGTCCATATAAGTACCTAGTATTTTCTTTTTCCCATGTGTTTAAGATCTACTGAAATTTCCAGGAATGCGACTAATCGGTCAACGAAGGGACGATTTTACTTTGTTTTGTTCTGAGCTTTACCAAGAGTGGTTCATCATTTAAAAAAAAAAAACCATGACAACAGTAGTAATGCCGTGTGTGTTATTTACATCTCCGATATGATACCCTGGATCACTGTGTTTGTCACTGTCTTTCTCAGGCTATGTGAGGTGTGAGTAGCTGACTATTTCATTACTTCTGTAGTAATATGTAACATTTACATATTAAAATTCATCTCATTTTATAACACATCACCTTCCTTTTCCTTTTCCTTTACGTAAAAAAGTCTTACAGGATAAAGAAAATGTACATGAGTACAATGGAATATTCCTTGGCAATTTAAATGAACAAAGTACTGATCCAGGCTACAACATGGATGAAGCTAGAAAACACGCTGTGTGAATGAAGCCAGACACCAAAGACCACATATTGTAGGATTCCATTTATATGGATGTTCAGAACAGGGAAATCTATAGAGACAGAAAGTAGATTAGTGGTGGCTTAGGGCTGGGGGGTGGTGCTGAGCTGTGGGGATTGAGGAGTGATAGCTAAGGGGATCAAGATTTCTTTCTGAGGAAATGAAATGTTCTAAAATTGTGGGCATGGATGCACAATTCTGAATATAATAAAAACTTTGAACTGCATGCCCTCGATGGGTGAACTGTATGTATGTGAATTAATTTCTCAATAAAACTGTTAAAAATCTTGCAGATTTAGGTAGGTAATACATCTACATTATATACACTTTCCATGTACTGAAATGAGTGTGTGTGTGTGTGTGTGTGTGTGTGTGTGTAATTTCAGAGGTAGGAGGGCTGGGAAAATATTTGTAGGAGAAAGAGGACATGGGGTTTGACAAGCCTGAGAACCACTGCTCTACTTGCTCTGTTCTTTGTTGATCTGACTTCAACTTTTCCCTCCCTCCCTCTTGCTGACCTCATGGCAGGCGTACTAGACTCCCTGCTGTTCCTCCAAGTCGCAAGCTTGGTGCAGACTCAGGGCCTTTGCACCTGCTAGGCCCTCACCTAGAAAGCTCCTTCCCAGAAAAGGAGGCTCACCTCTCTCATCATTCAGGTCTTTACACAAATGCACCCCCTTAGAGAGGCCTTACCACCCCAATTATCAAAGCTTGTTTATTTGCTTATTTTATGTCCTTAGCACAGACATCTCCAGACTTGTATCTAGCTGCTAACCTCACAACTCTAGAATGATGTCAAATGGACACTGCAAACTTAAAATCCAAAGTGGAACTCCTCATCTGCTCAAATGTGTTTCTATCATGGTCTTCCTCATTTCAGTATGTGGAAAATGCACCTTTCACTTCTCAGGCTCAAGACTTAGGAGTCCTCTCTTTTCCTCCCACTCAACATCCAATCAGCAATTCTGTTGTCTCTACCTTCAAAATATATAGTAAACGGGGCACCTGGCTGGCTTAGTCGGTGGAGTGCGTAACTCTTGATCTCGGGACTGTAAGTTCGAGCCCCACATTGAGTGTAGAGATTACTTTAAAAAAATAAAACCTTAAAAAATATATATATGGTAGATTATTCTAGATTAAAAGAGACTAATGAGAAGGGGCACCTGGGTGGCTCAGATGGCTGAGCATCTGCCTTCGGCTCAGGTCATGATCCCAGGGTCCTGGGATTGAGTCCCGCATCGGGCTCCCTGCTCAACAGGGAGCCTGCTTCTCCCTCTCCCTCTGCCTCTCCGCCGCTAATGCTCTCTCTCTCTCTCTCTCTCTGTATCTCTGTGTCTCAAATGAATAAAAAAAAATCTTTAAAAAAAAAGAGACTAATGAGGTATAACAACTCAATGCAATGCACGAATATTGACTGAATCTTGGATAGAAAAATGCTTTAGAGACATAAAAGATATTTGGGGACAATGTGAATATGAACTCTTTATTAACTAATAGCATGGAATTGGTGTTAATTTTTGTAGGTGTGATAACACTAACATAACAATATAAGACATGTCCTTAGTCTTGGGAGATGCATGCCAAAGAACTTGGGTGTGAAGAGTCATGAGGTTTATACTTATTTTCAAATGGATCAGCAAAAACAAACAAACCACCCAACAAACAAGCAAATAAAGCCAACCAGTGCTTGTGTGTGTTCGTGTGTGTGTGTGTGTGTGTGTGTGTGTGTGTGTAAAGAGATAAAGCAAATGTTAACGATTGGTGAATCTAAGTGCAGTGTATAGGGAGTTCACTGTATTATTCGTCAACATTTTCAAAATAAAAAGTTAGGAGAAAAAAATGCCCCAGGACTCTTTCCTCCTCTTTTTCTGCTTTATTTTCATCATAGCACTTTCTACTCTCTGACATTTACTTATTCGCTTGCTTGTTTTTGGTTTCCCCATGAAAGAATGTAAGATCTACAAGGGCAGAGATTTTTGTCTGTATTGTTTACTACTTGGTTCTCAGTGCCTAGGGGAATGCCTTGTAAGCATTGAGCAAAGAGTGTGTGAATGGATGGATGGATGGGTGGACGGATGAAAGGAACGGTGATGTGCCCACAGGACCAAGCAGGAATGAGACTTGATGGAGGTGACCAGGTGTATCTCACCTATGGTGGTGGTGGTGGTGGTAGTGGTGGTGGTGGTGTGTGTGTGTGTGTGGAGGTGGGGAGGTAGGGTGCTGTGCATTTCGGTACACAAACTCAGCCTGATCTGAGTTTTTAGATTAATTGGACATTCTGATTTGTAAAATGGGAAGAACCTTAGTTTTTATCTATTGGCTACCTCTTCAAAAGGTCTATGAACTACTGTGTAGTAGCAGACCACTAGTTTGCAGTTTATGCATATGAATCCCTGAAAAGTTGCTTTGGACTCTGGAGACACTTGCTCGGGTTTGAAATCCTGGCTCCACCACGAATGCTGGGCAAGGGACCTAACCTCTTTAAGACTCAGTTTTCTCGTCTATAACATCCACCCCTCCTCCACAGAATTATTGTGAAGGCTAACTGAGATCATTCATGAAATGATGAGCTTGATTGAAGGGCTAGTGCCCCTTAGTTATGTTTCTGCTTGGCCCTTACAGGTATGTCATTATCCATTTATTCAAACAAGCAACATTTGCTGAGAACCTACTATGTGCTAAGCATAGGGTGCCATGTGAGTGTGCAGGTAATATGTGCTCATAGTCGATACTCAAGAAATGGTTGTTGTCATTGTTACCTCCATGGGCAGATCTGGATTTAAATCTCATATCTGTGGTACAGTTGCTTTGCAAAATAGTCTGATAATTCTTCAAAAGGTTAGACATATCATCTGACCCAGTTCCGTCCACAGATATATACTCCAAAGAACTGAAAACTGTACCCACACATATGTTCATAGCAGCATTCTTCATAATAGCTAAAAAGCAGAAACAACCCAAATGACGATCAACTGATAGACAAACAAACTGTGGTATATCCGTACAGTGGAATATTATTTGGCCATAAAAAGGAATTAAGTTTTGATATATGTTACAATACAGATTAATCTTGAAAACAGTATGCTAAGGGAAAGAAGCCAGACACAAAAGGCCATGTATTATGTCATTCAATTTATATAAAACATCCAGAATAGGCAAATCCATAAACACCAAAAGTAGGTTAGTGGTTGGGACAGGGAGGGGGAGCTGGGAGAACGGACAGTGACTGCCAAAGAGGATGGAGCTTCTTTTTGGAGTGGTGAAAACGTTTTGGAATTACATTAGGTGATCAATGCACAACTTTGTGAATCTACTGAACACCACTAAATGGTATACTTTAAAATGGTGAACTGCACAGTATGTGAATTATACCTCAACTTATATATTTTAAAAAAATCATCAGAAAAAAAGTCTGACAAGTCAAGAGGATGGAACAGAATGCATGAAACCAGACCTAAGAGTCAAGAGGTATTCAGTATGATACAGCATTTCAGAGGGAAAAAGGAAAGATGAAGTAACTGTTCACCAAGAAATGGTAAGAGCAAATGCCTTCACCTTTCTGCACCTCGCTTCCTCTCCTCCAAATGGATGTAACCACAGCTACTCCATACAACCATTGGGAATAGTCAATGACCGGAGTGGCAAATGGTTAACTGTCTTCATGATAGGCCCAGGTGGTAGACCCACACAGCATCTTAGAGAGATCACAGGTGCAGTTTCATAGAATCCTGGAGTGCCAGGATGTCAGTCAGAACAGTAGAACCTTAGAATAATGTATGTCGAGAATCTTGAAATTACAGAGCTGTAGAATTGTAGGAGTTTTAGGGCCAGAAAGACCTCAGAGAACATCTGTCCCCATGATTTGCAAGTCTGTAGAGATTTGCAAATAGTAATAGTATAATAATAATTACACAGCTAACAGTTTTCCCATTTGCCAGGCACTTTGGTAAACACTTTCATATAGTCACTTAATCTCCATAACAACCCTATAAGAATAGGCAGGCACTTTTATTATCGAATTTTATGGCTTGGAAAACAGAGGCAAGAGAGGTTAAGTAACTTGCTCAAGGTCACAGAGGTAGTAAGTAATAGAGCCAGGATCTGATCCCAGGCCAGAATCTGTGTTCAGATTCCCAAGCCTTCACTCCAGAAATTCTGATTCAGTGGCTCTGGGCTGGGACCCAGGAATCTGCATTCTAAGCTACCTAGATGATTCAGATACCAGCCAGGACTGAGAACCACCAGTCTAACCCAGAGGTGGCAAATTGGTGGTCCTCAGGCCACAGGCAGCCCACAGCTACATAGTGGTTTTAAGATTGAGCCAACCTTTAAAAATCAGTTGATGTCAAATATTTCTGGCTTCTTCTGAAAAATTTGTAAGATGTGGCAACACTTTGTCTACATTCCCAAAGGGCAAGAATTGAGTCGAGTTGAGTAGCAGCTGCCCCCTTTAGGGATGGCATTATATCTCTCTGATGAGGCCAGAGTCCTCAATTCTATGTTCCCTTGCTGAATCTCGGAGGCATTTCAATTTATAATCCCTGATTTGGCCCAGCTTCCACACTGTAAAGAAAGGAAACTGAGGCTTACAGAAGGGAAAGGAACCCAGAGTAACACAGCAAGTCCAATGTAGAAAGAGAGTAGACCCGTCTCCTGACTTAAAAATCCCATAATAATATCAGCAGCTAACATTTTTTGAGAACTTTCTATGAATTAGGCATACATGCTAAGTGCTTTTTCAACATCAGTGACACTGATCACTGCCCTTAAGTAGGTGCCATAATGAATCTAATTTTGCAGATGAGAAAAATGAGGCATGGAGAAATCAAGTCACTTGTTCAAGGTTGCACAGGTCTAAAGAAGTAAGTTATCGGAGTAAGATTCAACTCAACATCTGACTCCAGAGCCTGAGCCTTCGGCCATTATCTTCCATTCTTTAGAGCCCCCTAAGTAATAAATAAGGAGAGGAAAAATCCTGGTTCTATAACATTTCGATTCCACTATCTCAGAGTTCCGTGGATTAGGGGGTGGGGTGGAAGGATCAGGCGCAGATGGTGCTGACCCCATTTTCCCTGAAACATGTGCAAACCCTTCATGAACTCTGAGCCCTTTGTGGCAGCGACCAAAGTAGAGGGAAGAGGCAATATCCTTGCCACCGTGTAAACGGTGTGGCCTGCTGGTGGGAAGGGATTCGGGAGAGACCTGGCAGGGCCTCTTCAGCACCAAGGACAGCAGCCGTGCTCCAAGCTCGGAGCCCCAAGCCCGAAGTCTTTTTTTGGGAATAATTCGCTTGGCAGCATTCTTCCAGGGCTTTCCGCCCACCGTTTCCCCAGGAACTTGGGGGAACTCAGGTCCATGGTTTCTCCCATCTCAGGGTAACAAGAATTCCCAACAACTCCAGATTCCTTTTACCGAGGGTCTCTCTCTCGTCTTTGCTTCTAGGTAGACGTTAAGGAGCCCTCGCAAATGGCCTGTCCTCCTGCCAGGGGCTCTGGCCCCTCTGCATCGAGTGTGCAAGTATATGGGAGTGGGGAAGGGGAGAGAAAACGGGGAGTGTGCGCAGCTCCCCTCCCCTCCACCTCCTACCCATCCAGGGCCACGCCAGGGGCTTTGCAGCAAGCCCACCTGCCCGGTGAGCACCGGTCATGGCAACCAGAGAGGCCAGGGTAGTGATTGGTCCACTCCCTGCCACGCCCCTACGCCGCCGCTTCCCCGTAACTGAGGCAACCAAGAGGCGCTGCCCTCCTTCCATCCCTCCTAGAGAGGGCTGTGTAGGAGAGGGACCTGCCCCCTCTCTCTCGCTAGCAAAACACCCGTTTCTCCAAAATGGTTACTTACCCCATACCATAATTAATGGAAACAGGGAGTATGAGGCCATTTCTAAACTCTTCTGGATGTGGATGGGTTGTCAATGAAGTCACTTCCGGTGAGAACAGGAAGTGGGAGGCAGGTTGCTCTGGGAGACAATGGGATGAGGTGGAAGGAAGGAGAGGGTCTAGAGAATCCCAGGAAGGAGGGATAAGGTGGGACAAATTCTCCCAGACCTTCACTCTCTCTCTGTGTCAAGCCCACTCTAAAAGGTTTGGAGTCCCTAGGCTGACTCCCTAATAATACAACTACTACTATGTATTTGATTGACAAACGTCTTATCGGCGTTATCCCATTCAGTTCCCACAGTAACCCAGTGATATGGGAGAAGTGTTTTCTCCCGAACCTCACTGGCTTTACAGAAACCCAGTCTTTGCCCCTGCTGACCTGCTTGGCTCTGTCGGGGTTCATCGTGGTTTGGGGTTGAAGGATGTTGACCACCTCAGGCTTGGTCATTGCTTGTGGGATTTCTCGGACCTTCTCAGCAATAAAGCTGTGCACAGCATTCAAGGCCTCTGCTGTGCCCTGTACCAGGCATACTCGTTCTGTGGTTCCTGTTGAGCAAGGGAGAGAGAGGGCACCCTCACCACACAGGAATGGGAAGATTCCTGGGAGACAGGCCCCATTTAATGGAAAGAGAAAACCTAAATCTAGAAAGTGGACCTAACTGGGCCCAGGTCACATGGTAAGCCTGGGGAAGTTGGCATGGACTCCCAGGCCATGATGGGTAACTGGGAAAGTGAGTGGAATGCCTGTTTTATAATCTGCACTTCATGTCCCTCCCCCAAAACAACCCCAGGGGATGGAAGAATGATACTTAAGTGCTTTGCGATGCCCACAGCAGCCCTGGGCAGGGGAGACAGGGCTCAGCTGCCTCTTCCCAGTCCTTGCTGGCTCCAGGTTGCTCTGGCAACCATTCACTCCCTCCCCCCCCCAGAAACCAAGAGCTCAGGCCTGCAACGGTTGCCACAGTAACTGGAACCCCCTTATCGGTCTGGCTGGCCGGGTCCTCAGCCCACCCCCAGGGGGACGAGGGACGAAGCCCCGTTGCCGTGGCAACCCCTGAAAGCCTGCAGCGAAGGCCTCTGGGCTTTTGGAGAGGATGGGGAAGGGCTGGGGGATGGGGGAGACAGAAGAGAGGCCAGAGTGCCCGCCTGGACCCACCAGATGGAGGGCTGAAGGGTGGGGGAGGGCAAGGGTATGGACAGGGGAGAGCAGAGACAACTCATGGAAGGGAAGGGACTCAGGGATGAAGAAAGGAGGGTGAGGTGGATGCCTTTGCTGGAGATTGTCTAGATTTTGGCTGTAGTTCTAACCTAAGCATCCTTACTCTGTGTGTGTGTGTGTGTGTGTGTGTGTGTGTGTGTGTACACTAGAGGTAGGGAGGCAGTGGGGAGAAGAGAAGCCAACTCTGGATGATGTTGGGATATATGTGTGTGGGACAGAGACTCCAGGTGACACTCTGACTAGTGAGAATATATCTGTGAGGCTGTTTGGGTGAGTGGTGTGTGTGTGTGTGTGTGCGCGTGCACGCGTGTCCATGCATGTGTATACCCGGGCTGGACTGGTTAAATTATCTTTATCTGTGTATGTCTATAAGAGAAAGTGTGGGAGAGACTGAGATGTGAACAGACAGTGTGACACAATGAATCCAGTAAAGATATGTGCACTCTTGCACATGGGAAAGACTTTGGGTGTCACTGTGATGTTCAAGGTTATGGATATACTGTTTGTGAGACCGAACTGCTTGTCCAGGAGAGTTTGAGAGAAAGAAACAAAGAGTCTCATGAAGCAGCACTGGGGCTGTATGATGAATGAATATCACTTTGAGACTGGATGTCAGCGTGAGTGTTGGCAGCAAAGAGACAACCAGACACCTTTCGGTGTTCAAAAGACTATTTGGATGACTGGTGTGTGGTATGTGTGTATATGTGCGTGAGCCTGTGCATAGGAGACAGACAGACAAGACTTTATCACACTGGTGTGTGTCAGTGTGAGCAAGAGTGAGAGAGAGACCGACAGGCAGACTCAAGTGTCAGTATGACGAGAGGACTGGTGTGTGTGTGTCTGGATGTATATGCATTACAGCCGGACAAAGACGGCTCTACCGTGACCAGCTGGTGTGACAGGGTGTGTGCCCGGCTGAGCTGTGCATGTTTGGTGTGTGCAGTGGGTGTCTGTCTCTCCCTCTGGGTGGGACTGTCTGCAGGGACCAGTTCGCTCCTGGGTCTGTGAAAGGTTTTGAGTGTGCGCCAGGTTTCATGTGCCTGAGTGTCTGGGACATTTGGGGGTGAGGCTCCAGTCTCCCGTGAGCATTCTAGAGCAGCATGATGGTGCCACCATCCTGACCCCTCGCTGGCCATCTCAGCCTGGCATGCCAGTCTCACCATGTGTCCGGGTGTCACTGTCTTGGGGGCACTTGGATAGTTGACATCCTCCCTCTCCTCTGGGCCACTGTTCCTCACTTATTACCCCCAACCCCAGAACAATGGACTTGTCTGAGCCAAGGGTGAGTCAGCGTGCAGGCTGCCTCCGTCTGGGTGTAAATAGGAAAGGGTGTGGGTCAGGGTGGGAACTGGGGGCGGGGGAGCGGGGTAGCCCTAGGGAGAGCCTGGCTGAAATGGTTCTGCTCTCCATTTCTGCTGAGGATCCCTTCCAGCTCAGGGAGGCTGGGATTTCCCACCCTTTGTAGTTCCCAACTGGGGTCCACAAGGGCTTTGGGGGACTCGGTTAGCCCCTGAAAGAGTGTCCGATAATGACAGCTGGTGCTTACAAAATACCAAGTGTTAGACACTATTCTAAGCACTTTGTATATATTTGTGCACTTCAAGTAGGAGGTAGGCAATATTATTATTCTCAATTTACTGCTAAAGACACTGAGGCACAGAGTAGGTTTGGGATCTGTCCAAGTTCACTCAGCCAGCAGTGCAAGCTCAGGGTTTCGAACCCAGGTGTCTGGGTTCAGGTCTGGGCTTTTAACCACTGAGCTACCCGTGCTCAAGCTGGGGTGTGCAGACTCTTGTGTGTGTGTGTGTGTGTGTGTGTGTTGGGAGGAAAGCATAAGATGACTCCATTTTTGCTACTGTATTTTTGATAGTAAAAAAGAATATGTACGGGTTTATCAAGTAGTCACTTAAGATTTTGTACTTCAAGGCAATATGTTATAAATCAATTTTTTTAAAAGTGTGTGTGTGTCTGTGCTTTTCCTCTGGGGACAGAGCTTCAGGCAAATATTCAAAATCAGAAGGAGTTTGGAATCGCTATGGTGTTTGAGTGGATGTACAGAAGTCTGTGTGTGTGGCTTTGGGCAGCTGGCTGCTTCTTTCTGGGTCTCAGTTTTTCCATGTACGATCTGGAAGGATAGAGTCTGGGGCTTCGTGTTTCCTGTACCAAGGAGGGGACCCCCTTTGTGCTCTGCCCCTCCCTTGGGGTTAAGGGTCAGGTAGGTTTTTGTTTCATGTAGTAGACACAAGTGCAGTGTGTGTGTGCATGCGTGCGTGTGTATGTCCATCTGTCTGTGGGTTTCACCATTGTCATTTCTCGGTGCTCTGTATGCTTCAGTCACAGTGAACAAACTCCTCCTCCAGCCTTTGAAGATGCTAGTTCAACTTCCTGGAGTACTCTTCCCTGCTTTTATCTAGCTCACTCTTACTTATTGTTCCAGGCCCCTCCTCCAGGAAGCCCTCCCTGACCTTCCCAGGCTGGGTCAGGTGCCCTGTCTGGGCTGCCGCCATCCTCTCGGCTTCCCTGTCCTAGCCCTGACCATGCTGGGTCATGGCTGGTGTTCAGTCTGTCTTCCCTACTGGGCTGTGAGATCTGTGAGGGAAAGGGGGTGGGGGGATATCTCAGTCACTGCTATGTCCTCATCTCTGTCCATAGAGTAGGTGCTCAGAGAATGCAGGTTGAATGAATGAATGAAAGGGTGTTAGTTAGCCAGGAGCAGAGGGAAATATGCTCTTCATTTCAAGCAGTAGTGTCTTCATTTCTTGTGTTCCTGTGGGTCCTGGGAAGTCCTAGGGGGCAGGACTAGGATGTAGGGGGCCGTGTCCTGCATCTTTGAGCTGGCACAAGCCATATGATCTGGAAATCCATGTCAGCAGTGGGGAGGGGGTGCTGGATGCCTGTCCTGGGCCTGGGGAGAGATGCTGGCTCACGTTGCTTGTTTGAATAGTATTTGGCCCAAGAAGGCCAATGACTGTCCCATCCTCTGGGGTTCTCAGCTGCCTGGCCTGTGGGATGTGTCATTGAGTTGGGAGGAGAGGATGTATCTCATGTCACAGAATGTGATCCAGGCATAAGGAACCAAGTGTCCTCGGATAAATGCCCCAAGCAGAGGTCTCATCCGTATCTTGTGGCCTAGGGGGCGTGTGAGGGAAACTGGGCCAGGGTGGAAGAGGAAGGTGGGGGGGGGGTGTGCCTGGTTCCCTGGACGCTTCTCTAAACCTCTTGCCAAAGCTGCTTAGTGAGATGGGAGGCAGGGCAGGTGGAGGGAGGAGGGAGAGAGAGAGAGAATATGAATGTGTCCTGACCCTGGGCTCCAGCTCTGGTGTTTGACCTAAAAAATCCAAGGGGATTAAGGATGAACTAGAATCAGCTCTGGACCAAAGATGCAGCTCTGGGGGCCTTCCCTGGGGGACATCCTTAGATGTCGAAGCCCAGGCATTGGTCTTGGGAGGGGAAGATGGATGGGGTGACAGATAATGCAGGGAACAGTAGAGAGGGAGTGGAGGGGCCTTGGAAATGTTCTGGTTGTAGGGAGAAAGAGAGCTGGGGGAGAGGCAGAAAAGGGGCTGGGTTTGGAGGAAGGAAGGAAAAATGTGGGGGCTGAGACTGGGAAGGAAACATGAAGGGAGAGGTGGGTGAGGGGCGATCCAGCAGATCGTTGAGGGGGTGCTACTGAATATTGAGTGGATGGTTGACCAGAGAGAGTTCAGGAGCAAGAGAAAGAAAAACATGAGACTATGAGAGGTGGAGGGCAAGGAAAAGATGGGGTGAGGGGCGGGAAGACAAGAAGGGGAGGACAGAGCAGGGAGGGAGGGAGGGGAAAAGCAGAGACGGACAGGACAGATGGATGGGGACAAGCGGTGGGGGACATCCAAACAGAATCAGAGAGATAGAAGCAAAAAAGAGGAGCCAGAGAGAGGTGGATGGGAATGGAGACTCAGGGAACAAGAGATGGGAAAGTCAGAAACAGAACGAGAGAGAGGTAGGAAGAATGACAGAGAAAACCAGCGAGACTCAAACTGGGCAAGATGGGGTAACAGAGAAATCCAAAGGGAAAGAGTGGGGGGAAAGAAGTGTGTGTGGGGGGGAGTGTGCAACACGGCTGGCTGGCCCCCCAACCCCAAGGGACACCCTGACACCTGCCTCCCTGCCCACCCTCCTCCAGCAACTCCAACTGACCCAAAGAGGCAGGTGTGTGGGAAGGGGCACATCTGCCAGCACATCATGCAAATGAACTCATGAATATGCAGCAGGCCCATTGTCTTGCCCTGCCCCCACCCCCATCTGCTCAGGCGTGGCCCCTGGGGCTGAGGGCAGCTCTGTCCCCTTAGGAGGAGGGGAGGCCCCCCATCACTATGACTGCCCCAAGGGCAGCTCTTCTTCCCCCTTATCCAGGGCCCAGGTGGGAGGGACAGGAGGCCAAGGGCAGAGTCCTGGGCCAGGGCTCACCCGGATAGAAGTCTTTGGACTTAGAGAGCTTGATGGTGGCTCCTGTCTCCTTCTGCAGCTGCACGATGGTCTGCCCGCCCTTGCCAATGATGGAGCCTGCCGCGTAGCTGGGGATCAGCACCTTCAGGAAGTATTCGCCTTCCTCTGCAGGGGCACACGGGTAGGGGAGGTAAGGGAGGCAGGGGAAGGGGTCTTCACCTTCGGCATGGTGTGGGCAAAGGGAGCCACCGGCATCACGGGAACATACAGGAGCAATGGCCAGGAGAACAGCAGCAGGGAGAATAATACAAATAATGATCTTCATTCATTCACTCGCTCATTCATTCATTCGTTCATTCCACGAATAGTTACTGAGCACCTGCTGCCACACGCTTGGCACTGTTTTAGTGAAACAGCCGTGAGGAAAACAGACAAACTCCCTGATTTCGCAGGCAAATGAGGCAAATAAGGCCGAGAGAGTTTCAGTGATTCAGCCAAGAGCTCACACAGCTACATTCTTCTAGAGTGGGGGAGACAGACAGTATGTTTTATGTTGGATGGCGGTCAGCACCAAGAGAACAAAAAGGGGCAGGAGAAGGGAAGGGGGATTGTAGGGGTTGCAGTGTCAGATCCGGTGGCCAGGAAAGCCCTCCCCAAGAATGTGGCATCCTTTGTTTAACAAACACTTCTACAGAACCTAGTATACACTAGATTCTGTTCCAAGTACTACACAAATACTAGTTCTTTTAATTTTTCACACTGATGCTATGAAAGAAGTACTTTGCAACCTGGCCTTAGAGTCCAGGCTCTAGACCCTTATGACTGATTGTTTCCAGGCTGTGGAGGTGGGAATGGAACCATCTGGCTCTGTGGGAGAGCAAGTGCAAAGGCCCTGGGATGGGATTGTGCCCGAGTTGTCCAAGGAAAGATGAAGTAGCCAGTGTAGCTGGGGCTAAGGAAGAGATGTGGAGAGTGGAAGCGGATGACGGCTGGGAGGGGTGGTGGTAGTGGTGGGGCCACGGTGAGATCTTTGATTTTTACTCCAAGTGAGATGGGAACCATGGGAACCAGAGATGGCTCTGAGCAGAGGAGGGATGGGATCTGACTTAGGTTTCCAGAAGATCCCTCAACACTCAATATAGACCCTGTACTGTGATGAGTGCTTTGTAAGCTTGACCTCAACCATTCCCTACAACTCCCAATGAGGGTGGTATAATGAGCTCCATTTTTACATGGGAGGAAACTGAGGCATGGAAGTGGTGAAGGCACCAGCCCAAGGTCAGCTGCCCAAGGGCACCAAGAAAGTCACTGGCTTGAGATTCCACTGCAATTCTGCTTCATTCTTGGCCCTCACTTGCTTAGCACCTTCCGATGCTGGTGGCTGAAGACCAATGCACTCAAGGACAGTCTCCAAGACCCAGGGGCAGTGAGGTGGTGCCAGTGGTCACTTGTGGGACTGTGGCCATTCTTTGTTATGGACCAATTTTCTTGGTCATGTGTAAAGTGTTTTGTTAATGCACTCAAGGCACATGCTTAACCTCTCCTACCTTTTAACCCAACTGTTGTCCCTACGTTCTCATAGGGTAGAAATTCTGGAGCCTTCTCAGTATAAAACCCTCTGTGATTTGGCCCTGCACTTCTTTCCAGCTTCACGCCCTCATCTTCCTCTATGTGCATCAGACCTACTTCCTCTTTGTTCCTTAAACGTTCCCTCCTCCCACCCACCTCAGGGCCTTTGCACGTTCCTTTTGCTTGGAACTCCCCTCCCCCAGTGAATTCCTCTTGTCCATCAGGTCCCCACTCAAATGTTGCTTCTTCTTGGAAGGTTTCTTTGAACCCTGGGGAGGAGATGGATCCCCTCCCGTTCATTTCATGCCTTCAGAGCAATGTATCACATTAGTCCACTGGAGCTCACCCGTGTCCCAGGGACTCATGCCATGGCCCAGCACACAGTAGGCATGCAATAAACGCTAGAGAAAGGAAGGGAGGAGCCAGGTCACTCTGCTTCCAAAGCTTAAGGTCTTAAAACATCCCCCAGTGGTTTTTAAATTTTTTCTTTTTAAGCAAAGGAAGCCTATTTTCAATGTCTCACATGAAACACCAACACACAGAGCAGATGAAAGAGAAACTGTTCTGGTAAAAGTGGGGGCAGGGTGGGGGGGGCCGGGAACCCTGCCCATGTCTGCCTGATCCCTTAAGATTGAAGGTTCTGGGCTCCCTGATATGTTAAGATGGGGGTACAGGGGCAAGGGGCTGGATGTGGCTTCACAGGCATGGGGAGGGGGTCCAGGATGAAGGGGTTGTCCTGAGCCCAAGGCAATCCACTTAAACTTGCCTCATCAGACCATTAAACCTATTAGGTAATTAGCCCGCCAGAGCCCCTTCCCATCAATCATCCTGACCCCCCCCCCGAATTCACTTTCTTCCCTGGGCTCACAGAGGCAGCCTCTTCCCTGCCCCTGCCCCATCCCTAAACCTGTCACAGAGATGGGGGACCAGTCCTCCATCCCTGAAAGGCTCAGAAAGATGGGGAGGGCATTCTCACAAAGGACTCTATTCTCTTTTTCCTTCTTTAACTCCAATCCCTATTTTCTCTCCAGCCAGGGCCTCTTCCCCAACTTCCTTCTTGAAGGTGGAAGGTGTTCATCTACTCTGAAGAAAACTGGATACATCCCCCACCCCATTTTTTTGTGCCCTCTGCCTTCCCCTTCCCCTTCCCCAGGAATCTCTGTATGCAACAGCAGAAACAGCCTTAGACTGAGTGTGAATTTTGTTCCTGACGGACCACAGGGCCTTGGGCAAACCACCTCACCTCATGGGGCCTCAGTATTCTCATCGGCAAAATGGGGATGTGATAGCACTACCTCAGAGGGCTAATTAATTGATAAACTGTAAAATACTTAGGATGATCTCGGGCACGTGGAACACTTGAGAAATGTTAGCTATCATTACCTCCATCATCATCATGACCATTACTGATGTCAGGAACCCAAGCAAAGTCCTTCTCAGAGCGTCTGGCCCAGGGTAAGTGCTCTACAAATGGGGAGACGAGCCTCTGAGGTCTGAGGTTTTCATTGAGCGAAGGGAGAAGGAGGGGAGACCCCACTTCATCATTTGCCCCTAGGGGCTGTCCCAGGCCTTTCTCTGCTTCTTGGAGGAGGAATGAGCTCTCGCCGATGGAAGCAAGACCCTGCCCAGCATCTCTCTGACTCCCTTCCTTCTCATGCCACTTCTTGACTTTGCCCTCGATGTATCCCCTCAGTACTGTTTCCTTCCATCTCTCCCCCTTCTCTCCCTTCCTCCAACACATCCTCCCTGAGCACCCACTCTGTGCCAGGCCTTGTTTGAGGTGCTGGTGACACAGGAGGGAACAGACAGTCCATTTCCTTCAAGTCCACTCACTTTTAAAATTTAAATGCGTCTCTTTAAAGAGGACACTTAAAAACCACTGCTAATAATCAAGAGTCTGAAACCTGGTTATGTTTTCCCCTCCAGAGCATAGAATATAAACGTACAAGGGTAAAAAAAAAAAAAAAAGTTTGTCCATGGACCCCCTTAAGCCACCTTCTGGGTGCTCGAGGGTCCCTGTATCAGACGAATGTAAATTGGGAGCCTTCACCTGAGGCCAGCCTCCTATGGAGAATGACTCCCACCTGCAGAAGCTCAGAACTCAGGGCAAGAGTCCCCATTAGGGTCAACAGACCCCTCTGACCCTCTTCAGAATCTTCTGCATGTCTTTCCCATTTGGGAGCACTTGTCCCCCACCTTTAATGCCCCGTGTGAGTCCCATGTCCCCCAGGAGAAAGCCAGGCCTCTGTTTCCCAGCCTGCTCTGCAGCAAGGGGAGACACATACCCTCGGCTGAACCTGGAGCCCCCAGACCTCACACGGCTCCCACCCAGTCTGAACAACCAAGGCTCTGCCTGTGAAAAAGTTCTTCCTTCTACTGAATAGGATCTAAATGCCAGAACTCCACACCCACCTATCTCCACCCCCCTTTTAGCTTTCCCCCTGGGGTTCAGGAAGCTCCCTTTACCCTTGACCGTGGCTGGAGAACTAGAGATGCCCACTTCTCTCCTGCTGGTTTTCCTCCTGTTACAACGTCAAGCATTCCCTCCCTCTTCTAGTCCCCCCCCTTGTGCCCACTTTCTTCAGAAATGCTTCTGGAGTTTCCAAAGAGCAACCAATACCCCTCTCCCCTTAAATAATGGAGACCTACCCAAGAGATTTGGGGTGCTGTGTGGTAAGAGCCGCACTTTTTATCAGAGCGTTGACCCCGATAGGAGGCTTTAAAGGTGGGGGGAAGTCATTAAGGACAAAGGTAGAGCTGAAGGGGTGGGGGGTGTTGTAGGGGTGTTTTCAGTGACAGGAGGTCTAGGGGTGCCGTGCTCCTGGAACCTGCTCTGGCTTGCAGGTTGGGGACGGAGGTGTTGGTGTGTTCCGCGGAGGTGTGAGGCGGCAGGGGTGTGATGTTGACGTTGTCGTGGGAGTGTGTGGGGACGTGGCTGGCGGAAGACAAGACCACACGGGCGGGGTGCGGTGCCGGGAGCAGCACCGCTCAGGAGGGCGGGACCGGCAGGTGTGTGAAGCAGTCTCTGTGAATGACGGTGTTGCCGGTTGGCGGGAGAAATGCAATCCAACCGAAGCTGGGGGGGGGGGGGGGCCGCAGGCCCAGGGGGGGGGGGGGTGGGGGGGGGGGGACGGCGGGTCGGGGGGGGGGGGGGGGGGGGGGGGGGACAGCATGCCCAAGGTGTGATGCTGTCTTCGAGCTGTGACACTGTCTCTGAGTGAGAGAAGGGTGGATGGGTATGATTTCCTCCGGGCGAAGCGCCGCGGGATGGTGCAACAGGCCTCCGATGACATTCTCGGTCGGAGGCACGGATAACAGTAGTAACGACAACTATCGTGTATTGACGCTTTGCTGTGTGCTTCATATATACAGTCTCATTTAACCCACACACCAGCCAGGCTTACATCTCGCAGCTCCCATTTTCCAGATGAGACTGAGGCTCGAAGCGGTGGAATAACTGGCCCAAGGTCCCACACCGAGCCCATGGCAGTGACGAGATGGACCCTGGAAGGTTCTCACTCTCGGGGCTCTTAACCCTGGTGACATTGTCTTGCTGGGAGCAAGACTTGGCGGCTGGAAGCTCGAAGCAGGGCGGGGGGGGGGGGCGGCGGGTCGGTGACTGGTGCACATGTGCGTGTGTATGTGGGGAGGGAAGCTGCTGTTTCTGTTCATATGGGGGTGACAGAGGTGGGGATACAGTCAGGAGTATGCCATGCTAGTGGCACCTTAAGAGTTTCATCCGTACTCAAGGGTGGAGGAGGGGGGCGTCGTTTGGTATTGACTATAGTCATTTGTCTCTCTGATGAGTGAGTTCCTAACCTGAGTTTCCATTCAACTTCTTCACCCGAGTTCTCCTGTCTTTACGTGCCTTGTGTCCCTCCCAATGGCGTCTGGCAGTCATAGTGCCCAGACATCAGTTGGAACAGCCACCATCTCCTCTCTGAGCCCCCGAGAATGGGCAGGAGTGGTAGGCAGGCTGGCGCTGTGGGCAAGAGCTCAATCTGCCCGGTCCGCCACTGCTTGCTGTGACACCCCAGAAGACTCCCTCGACCCTCTGGGTCGCGGTTTCCTCACCCAAAAATGGGGTTTCACTATAGCGTCCACCCACATAATGGAGCCAGCCTCCCAGATTCAAATCCCAACTCTGCCTCTAATTAGCTGACCGACCTCGGGCAAGTTACTTAACCTCTCTGTGCCTCGGTCTGTCATCTGTTAAGAAGGGTAACCTAAAAGAATTGTAAGGATTACATGATTGGTCTGTGCTAATACTTCCTGGTACACTGCAGGCCACAGATATTAGCCATTATTATAATTTATTATGGTTAATTATTACATCATGGAGTGTTGGAGAATCACATGAAATACTGCCTATAAAGCAGTGAGCAATAATACTGGTAAGTGGTTACTACTATCATCCTTGTAGTTATTGTGATTTTCCCACCTGACAGATGGTGACTCTTGAGGCTCAGGAAAGGGGTGAGGTTGACCCAGCATCCCCCAGTCATGACAGTATTATTGCAAGGAGCCCTCAATTTTGAGATGAAAGTCCCGGATCCTTGCCCAACGCTGCCTCCTGAGTGTTTCTGTAAACGGAGGACTGTCCCTTTGCATCTCCAGGCCTCAGTTTCCCCACAGGTCACCAGGAGGGGAGGTGGAAGAGGCTGGAGGAGAGGGTCCCTGAGGGCTCATCCTAGTTTCCCTTGCTACTGAGGGAGGCAGGATGCCCAGCAGTTAAGCACATGAGCTCTGGAGCCAGACGGCCCAGGGTTGGATAGATCCCAGCTCCACCAACTTATGAGCTGTGTGACTTTGGGCAAGTGGTTTCATTTCGCTGAGCCTGTTTTCCTCATGTGAAACAGCAGCTCAAATCATCTCCCCCGGAGGGTTGTATTAGGAAATTAACCCATATCTCAGAGCCTGACTTCTAGTAGGTGCCAAGTACTTGGGCCTGACCGTCCTTGGCAGCATCTCTATTGTTAGGTTGTGCTGCTCGGAGCAATTAGATTTGGAGCACCTCAGCCCCTTTAAAAGAAGGATGTGACACCGCCCCCCCCCAAGCAGGGGCAGTGCCGGGCTGCCAGGTCAGGCTCAGGGACCGCCTGGGTCCCCGCCTGGGTCCCCGACTCTCTCCAGGACTGGGAATGGCAGTGGAGCAGGAAGAAGGGAAGGAAGTTGGCTGGGACATATTCATGTGTGTGCTGGGGGTGGGGGGAGCAGGAAGAAGGACAGGAAACTCCCTCCCACCCCTCCCCCAACTTCCCTTTCCTTCAATTTCTGCTGGACACACTCTCACAGGCAGCCAGGGGGTCCCTGATTCCTGTCCCACCTGGACAAGGGGGGGGTGGCGCTGGAACGGAGGAACGAGACTTGGCTTGTGTTCCATAGAGGGGAAGAGATGGGGGGTCCCCACCCCACCCACTACAGAGCCTGGTGGAGTGGGGAGCATGCACTCTGCCCCAGGTCATCCCTCTCCCATCCGGAGGAAAAGGCCAGAGGAAGCAGATTTTGGCCAAGGTGACAGCAGGGAGGGGCTTGTCTGCTCTGGGGTCTCCCTCCATCCAGGGAGTTAATAGGCTGGGCTCTGAGACTGAGAATCCCTCCTTCCTGAGTCCCTGGCCAGAGAGACACCCACTAGAGTTTCCAGTTTGTCTTTTATTCTCTGGTACACATACCTCCTCAGGTCACACACACAGTGGGGGCCCTCCTGTCTTACACGCGCATACCTTCTGTGTTGTCAAACACTCAGACATCTCACACACACACACACACACACACACACACAATCCCTTGTCTCTCACACATGCAGAATCACTCCCACATCTCTAGTGGTACATACTCAACCATTTCACACACACCCCCTCCCCTTGTTACAGATATATATATACACACACACACCCTCCCCTTGTTACAGATATATATATACACACACACCCTTTCCCTTTTCATACCCCTTCGGTGTCATATACACACATTCCCCGTTCCCTGTCACACGGGCACCCATCCTTCCCTCTCCTTGTTACACACCCTCGTGCAGCTCACCAACAGAGCCCTAACCTCTCCCGTCATACACCCACCTTCCCTTGTTGCACACGCCCCCTCTGATGTCACTGTTGCACACCTCCATGTGTCACACCCAGCCACAGCCTCTTTGGAGTCACACCCACACCCTTTTCTTGTCACATACCCTCACCGGCTTCTCCTGGTCCCACCCCACCCCAGACACGCCTGTGTCACACACACTGAACTACCTTCCTTGATCCACACAGCCTCTCATGGCTCACACCCAGAGCTGGCCCATTCAGCTTCCCCCACACACCCCCTTGCATGTCACACACACCCTCTCACTCATGTGTCACACTGCCACAGCCCCCTCTAGGGTGACATGCACACACTTTCCCTTGCCACACGTACCCCTTTGAGGGTCTCAAACACACAGCCCAGCCCCTCATCTCATTCTGTCTCTTACACACACACACACACACACACACACACACACACACACACACCTTTCCTCTCATATCCATGATCCCTAAAGTCACACATCCAGGCTTTACAGGGCCCACACGCGCACATACACACAAACACACACACACCTCTCCCAGCCACACATTCTCCCACCTAGCTTTACACACCCACCCATTCCTCCACCTCACCCAACACACCCACCCAGCTTGTCCCCACGCACAATCTCACCCATGGCCCACTCATGCCTCCCTCTGGGACAACCCTTGCTCAGGACATCCCCAGGGAGGGAGGCTGGGAAGCTCCAGGTCCACAGGCCTCCTCTTCTCCTTCCCCCCCCCCCCCCCCCGCCAGGACACGCCAGCCCGGGAACACCCCTGCCCCGAAAGGGTCACATCACACACCCCTCAAGGACACAGAGACGCCCGCCCAGAGGGACCCACGCCCCCCATCCTTTGCGCCCCCCAAGGACACTTACCACCTCCTCCCCCCCATCTCCTCTCAACGCAGACAAAGCTCCCAGCCCCCGGCAGCGGCGAGAGAGGGAGGGGGTCTGGCCCCCTCCCCAACGCCCCTCTCAGCTCCCCGGTCTAGGGAGGGGCGCCCTTCCCCGCCCCGGAGCCCTTGCACCTGCCACGGCGGGGGAGGAGGATGGAGAAAGGCGAGGCCCCCTGCCCGCTCCCCCACACCGAGTCGCAACCCTTTCTCACCTCCCGTGTTGCTGCGCTTGGTGCAGACCACCTCGGGGGGCGTTTCGAGGGGCCTCTTGCGGGAATCCGGGGCCTCGGGCTCCATGGGGGGGGGCCTGGGGCGGCGGCTGCTGCTGCTGCGGCGGCTGCGGCGGCGGCGGCGGCGGCTGCTGTGGCGGCGGCGACGGCTGCTGGGGAGGCTGGGGTTGCGGCGGCGGCGGCGGCGGGGGCGGCGGCGGCTGCGGGGCCGCGGAGGCCGTGAAGAGGCCGTGCACCGCGCCGGCGGCCATCATCCTCATGGTCGGGGGGGGGCGGGGGACGGGGGTGGGGGAGGGGGAGGGAAGGGGATGTGGGAGGGGGAGGGGGCGGCGGCGGAGGGATGGGGGAGGGGGAACCCTGGAGAGGGAAGGAGGGAGGGAGCTGGTTCTGGGGGGCTGACAGAGCCTGGAGAGAGGATGTGAGCAGGACGGGAGGGCAAGGGGGGTCCCCGATAGGGTCCGGAGAGAACTGAGGGGTGGGGTCTCTCTCAAGATTACCGAGGCCAGGGACTGGCCGCGCCACTGGGGGGGGGGGGTCGGGACCCCCTTCTTTGCTCCCCCGGGTGGAGGACCGAGCCCCCCAGACCCTGCTCGGGGCGGGGGGCCGGAGGAGCGGGACCGGAGGTGGGAGGCGGAGGCAGCCGCTAGTGGGGACCCCGGGGGCGGCGGGTGCGGGCGGCAGCGGCGGCAGGGCTGGCGGTGGCTGCTGGCCCGAGCATCTTCTTCCCGGAGGCTCCCACAGCGGCCTGGCCCCTCCCACCCGATCAAAGCCACGCCCATGCCGGTCAGGGCCGCGCCCTTCGGCGCCCCCATTGGTCTGTCCTTGAAGCCGGGACCACGCCCCCTAAGTTGACCACGCCCCTTTCGGCGCTGGGAGAGGGACCAGGCTCCCCCATGCTACAAGGAGGACCCTGGGCTCATCCACACCTTCCCCACCCTTCACCTGTAACGTACGTTTATTGAGCACCTACTGTGTGCCAAGTCCGGTTGTAAGTAAGCGCTTCACAAAGCTTACCACGTTTAATTCCCAGAGCAACCGACTCTGTCTGGTACTCTTTTATCATCCCCATTTTACAGAGAAGGAAATTGAGCCTCAGAGACTTGACGTCACATGGTCGCGATAAGAATTCTCACTTCACATGTCTCCCACCTCTGACAGCTGGGAAGTTCTCCCCTCGAATCTTTCATCCATCTTTTGAAGAATCAACGCAGTATTACTGCCAGGGCTCTGGGGATTGAATTTAATGAATACCTGTTAGGCGTGTAGAGCTGAGCTTAACATCCAGTTGGCGCTCAGGTCAATCAACAGCACTTACAAACCACCTACAAGTGTCAGACACTGTCCTAAACACTGGGGTACAATAGGGAACAAAAAACAGTCTTGGCCCTTGTAGACTAAGGTATTACTATTCATGTCATTAAGAAAACCTGATTTTCAGACAACAAAGCAGACACTCAGGAAAATGGAGTGTGGTTCACCCAAGGGCACACAGGTAGACAGACAGAGGGGAAACTGGGATTTGAACGCAGGACAAGCTTTATTTCAGAACCTGAAATAGGGGGCCTTTCTTTGGAGTGGATCATTGCTAATATTCACTGTTCTCTGATATATGAATTTTCTTCTCCCTGAATTTCTTGTCTTCAAGGATTCTTCCTAGGTCAGCCAGATGCAAGATTAGGCTCAGAGGGGGCCTGGGTGGGGGTAATTGTGGCAGCTGGGGGGGCCTCCCTCTGCTCTATCCCACTCTGCCCCACCCTTGCCATGCTCTCAGGTCCCCAGGATGGGGAGGGTAGCAGATGGCCTGGGGAGGATGAAGTGACCTCCCATCTGTCCCATCCCCCCCATTGTCCCCGGAGCCAAGGGGGATTCGAGGGGGTTGTGGTCCACTGCAGTCTGGATCCTCCCCCTCCATCTTCCTGGAGGGAGCTGAGGAGCTAGTTGCTATGGAGACAAGGAAGAGGCAAGAGAGATGCAGGGAGGCACCGGGGTCAGGCTGAGATCCACACCTTAGACCCTTTGATTCACATATACTCACACCACACAGGTACATATCCCAACATCCATGGAGTATGGCATGAATTTCCACATCTCCAGCACACGCACAGTCACACCAGGCCTCCTGCAGACACACAGGTGTATACTCAACAGTTGCACACAGGCACTCTGATGTATGAAGTAGATTCATGGGGATAGGTACACACACACACACACACACACACACACACACACACACACACTCCCATAATGGATAATGCACATTCAGTCATGTGGACCATAAATATCACAGGCTCTCATGCAAAAATAGATAGACACACATCTGATATCCAAGTATGTCCCAGGTGCACATGTTCAAAGCCAAAATAACTCCACACTTGGCCACACACAAGCTGAGAAGTTACAAGTACATGATCAAAGCCATAAGACATAAATGACCTATGTTACATAAGGCATACATGTTAGTGACATGTGATATATAGACTGACAAACAGACCCAATCCTGCCTTCCACACAAATTGGATAATCACACACATTTAGATACATGGCTCTCGTAGTCTAATGCACAAAATGCACGAGACCTCACAGGCCACTCAGTGACATGCTCAACACACACGGAATCCCGAGTATTGGTCAGCCCCCACCCCCAAGTCATGCCTGCAGCCCCAGCTCACACCCCCCCCAAGCCCTCCTATTTGGACACACACGACAGCACGGTTGGTCACGCACTCACACTCACACACAAACACAAACCTCCTCCTAGATATTTTTAAACCCAGGCTAGTTCTGCTGCTATGGCAACCGCCCCAAACCCATTGCCATAGCAACCTAACGTCAGCTTTCCAAGCACCAAATCCTGGGGGATTGCAGGGCCCCAATCAGAGGCCAGAGGAGGGGGCTGCTGCACCCTCTGCCATCATCCGTGCCACCCCGGTACCTCCACCCCAGGGCCCCCAGGGGAGCAGTCACCTTATGGTGGGGAGGGAGGGGCTGGAGCCAAGGATGCAAGACCCTCCAGACCAGACACCCCTCGACGTGCTTTTTCCTCCTGCTCCATCAGAGTTTTACAGAGGGACTCATGGGACAAAGGTCAGCCTGCCCCTGGACACACACAAGCCAGGGTTTGAGTCTTGGCTTTGACATTTACATGCTGTGTGACTTGGGCATGTCTTTACCCTCTCTGAGTCTCATGTTCCTTAATTTGGAAAATGTTCCTGCTGTTGCTATTGATACTAATACCCCAAGGGTTATTGTGACTCAGTGGCTAAAAGCCCAGCCCAGAATTGTATCCAAATTCTCACTCTCCCATTTTCTAGCTGTATGAACTCAGGCAAGGGCCTCTGAGTCTCTGCAACAATGTTGGGGGGCACATAGTAATCTAATTACATAGGGCTGTTGGGATGATTCTCAACAGAGGGGTGTGGCTGCTGAACTAAGAACTTTGCATGCACTCCAACTTATTTAAGTCTTAAGCATGGCCTTATGGGTAAGTACTATTATTATTCCCATTTTGCAGGAAAGGAAACTGAGGCCCAGAGAGGCTGCCTGAGATCACCCAGTTTTGAAACATGAGATTTGAACCCAGGCAGTCAAAGACATGGCCTTAGCCATTTCTCTCTCCTCCCACTTAAAGAAGTTTGGAGAAGGGTGATGGAATGGTGGATTCCTGGAAATGCTTGCTAGCCTCAGTTTTCCGGCCCACAAAATGGGACTTCAAATGGTACCACTAGCCGAGGTGTTGGAGGATCTATGAGGCACCTTGCACCTGGGGCGCTGAGGATGGGCTGGCACACCTGAGCGCTCCGTGTAGACGGGGAGCAGATGGGGAGGGGCAGGGCAAGCTGGCAAGTGGGTAGTCTGAGGAGGGAGGTTGGCTCTTTTTCCTAGCTCTGTGACCTCAGGCATGGGCTTTCCCCAGTCTGAGCCTCATCTCATCATCTGTCAACTGGGAATCGTAAGAGTGCTGAGGGTACGGCACGGAGTCCAAGAACCAAAGCAGGTGAAACCACTTGGCCTGGGTCCCAGCCAGCGAAGAGGAAATCTCAGCTAATATTAATACTCTCCATCCCGTCTGTGCATGGGATTTAGGAGTCAGGACTGTGGAGTGCAGGAGCTTGCAAACCGTTTTGACCCACGGTAAGAGATATTATATCATCATTCAATGCATATAACACTGAAACAAAAGTTTCATGAAATCATACTTCACCTATACCTTCGTTTATACTATGTTTTACACGATGTGCGCAGACTCCCATCTATTCTTTTCAATTGAAAAATGTTGGTTGGGTTCACAGTCCCCTAACCAGTTGTGACCAACAGTATGAAAAACCCCAGCGTGGCGGTTTGGGGTGCAATCCTGGAGTCGTTGGAGGGTTTTACACAGGGGAGTGGCATGGGCATCAAAGGGGCAATGGAGGGGTTGCCAGCCTGGGGGCTGGGATGGAGCCAGACTCCAGGGAGGAGGGGCTCTTTGCCCGGACCCTAGCAGAGGCAGGAGAGATGGAGAGATGTGATCAGAAGCCAACACATGAAGAGTTAACACGGTGTTTTGAACACAGTGTATGGTGGTTACGAGCATCAGCCTTGAAGACAGATCCTCACTCATACATTTGACAAAAATATTTATTAAGCATGTGCTATGTGTTGGGTACTGTTCTAGGCCCTGGAGATATAGCAGTGAACAAAATAGACACAAATTCCTGACCTCATGAGCTCACATTCTAGGGAAATAGACAATCAACATGCAAGAGAAGTAAAAAAAAAATTAAAAAAAATATATAGGATGTTAGATGATAAGGACTGTGGAGAAAAACATATCAGAGAAGGGGGATGAGGGGTTGGGGTACAAGGGGGTGAGAGTAGGGCTTTGGGTTTAAATATAATAGACAGGGGAGGCCTCACTGAGGAGGTGGCATTTGAGCAGAGACCTGAAGGAGGAGGTGAGGGAGTGGGCCATATGGGTCTCTGGGGGAAGAAGGATCCAGGCAGAAAAAAGAGCAGGTGCAAAGGCCCTGAGGCAGGAGTGCACCTGGTATGTTGGAGGAAGAAAGAGGAGCCCAGGGAAGCTAGAGA